TCTATTACGACCAGACGATGCACAAACACAAGTAAAATTAACCATTTAGGTTCTAACATGTACACTTTAATGTACTAAAATGGACCTTTTTGGGGTAAATAAGGTACAAAGGTGTACCTTTTGAAAGGGTATCATTTGCATTTGCTTATTCTAATCATAATTTGCTGGATGAGGCTCTCAAATTTCAATGTTTTAAATATGCATTATTCAAAATTAATATTAATTCATATTACATAAAGCAGTACTTTACAACAGTGTAAAAGGATCTTGTTTTATGAGATTTATTACTACCAGACGATGCAAAAACATAAATATGTTTTTTTTTAAATCCATTTAGGTACTAATTTAGGCAAAAATATGTGCCTCTAAGGTACTAAAATGCACCTTTTGGGGGTAAATAAGGTACAAAGACATACTTTTGAAAGGGTATCATCCCAGTGACAGCTTTGTGAGTGCACTTGCTTAATTTAACCATGATTTGCTGGAGGAGGCTCTCAGATTTCAAATATTAAATATACATTATGAATAAAGCCAAATAAAATAAATTGCATTACTTTACAACAGTCTTGTTCGATAAAAGGATCCTGCTTTACAAGCTCTTTTAATGCACAAACATCTGTCTTATGCATACTCTCAAAAAAAAAGGGACAAAAGCTGTCACTGGGGCGCTACCCTTTCAAAAGGTACTAATACATCCCATTTAGGTACTAATTTAGGTACAAATATGTGCCTTTAAGGTACTAAAATGCACCCTTTGGTGTAAATAAGGTACAATGGTGTAGCTTTTTCTGAGTGCATTTGCTTATTGTAACCATTATTTGCTGGACGAGGCTCTCAAGTTTCAAATATTAATTCATATAAAGCATGCATCATGAATAAAAGCTAATAAAATAAATTGCACTAACTTCACAAAAGTCTTGTTCAGTAGAAGGATCATGCTTCAAACGTTCCTCTATTACTAGCAGACGATGCATTTGCTTATTTTCACCATTATTTGCTGGATGAGGCTCTCAAGCTTCGGATATTAATTATGCATTATGAATAAAAGCAAATAAAATAAAATGCATTTCACAACAGGCTTGTTCAGTAAAGGTTCTTGCGTTACGAGCTCTATTACTACCAGACATCTGTCTTGTGCATTTGCTTATTTTAACCATCATAATCATGCTGATGCACAAAACATGTACAACAAAACCAAAACCTGCAGCACAGACGTATTTGACTCACATTCCTCTGCTGCATATTAAAAGTGGACCAGAACATTAAGACATGTGGCTTTAGATTAAACGCACAACCCAATAAGAGTCTGCACTAAATTAATTACAGAAATCTAATTACACGAGAGAATCAGCTAGAATGTTGCTGATAATAAATTCGTCCTGCGTGCAGATTCAAAAGTGAAGTGCATGGCAAAAGCAGCTGCGTCTCTCCAGAGTTCGCTCATGTACGTCTAATCCAGAGCAGAATCCCAGAAGATCGACACCAACGCAATGCCATCAAAGTTTACAAAGCCTTATCTTGAAAAATCATTTTTTTCCAAAAACAACAGACAGCAAATCCCTGGCTCTTCTTCTCTTATCAAATACAAAACTGTTGCATTGCACAAAATGTCCCGCTGCCTTTTCAAGCACCTAATAACCGTGAAGTTATTTTTCTGCCTAACATTAATCCACTGCCATCCTGGTCTCTGTTTTTCAAATCCGGTGTCCTTTATGTCATCGTCTGCTCTTTAAAATCATCATAATAATTCTCCAGAGCAGGTTTCTCATGGATCTGCTGAACTCTCCAGTACGCAAACCATCTTTCAGAATGAATTTCGACAGTGAAAAAGCACGGCACATTTTACACACCACGGGAGAAGTTTTACAAGGCTAAAAGAGGAAGATAGGCAGTGTCAAAACTAGTCAAGTCAGTCCGAATTGCAGCAGGATCTGTATAAGACTGCAGAATAAGAGGCTCTGTTTTCATATTTGGAGCAGCAGTCATATATGGCCACATGCATGAGGAACATAGCGTGTTTTATGTTTCTCAGCTGAGCTGGATCCTGTATTCCTGTACTTTTTTAATCTTCCACAGAAGAGGTGCTAAAATGCACATAAAACACATGCAAGTACATGTAAGCTGTTACATGTGGAGTTCGAGGAGGTTCAATTCAATTCAATATGGTTAAACAACGGTGGGAACTTCTCTCTTAAAAATTAATCTGGGTTAAACTATGTAAAGCAGCAGGAGAAAAATGCAAAACAGTTTTTTGCAAACAAAACTTTAATAAAAAGTAATTTAAAAAAATGCAAATTAAAAAAGTTATTAATATTTTTATATTAATTTATTTTGCAAAAAAAAATTGTAATAAATAATTATTATACATATTTAATAAAACAAAGATTTTTATTAGAAATGTATATTTTTTTATTTTGCAAACAAATTTTAATAAATAATGAAAACTATTTTATTAAAAATAATTAATATTTTATTTTAAAAATGAAAATGAATATTTAATTAAAAAAAAATTTAATTAGAAATATTTAATCATTTTTATTTAAAAATATTTTTATTTTGCAAGCAAGATTTTAATAAATAGTAATAAAAAATATTTCGAAAATAATGTTTTTATTTTTAAAAATATTACATTATAATTTTTTTTTTATAAAATACATTTTAAAATATATATATGTATAGGTTTAGAACTGTAATTCATTGTGTTTTGGGGAGTTTTACGGGAAGTGATGTTGTAAATGCTATACCATAAACACCGGATGGTCCTGCACGTTTAAGTCGAATGAGAACACATTTCTGACAGTGGTTCATCATGGAACATTTTCACGAGCAACACAACTATCGTGTTACAGCTGAATGTATGTGGGGTTTCCGTTCGGAGAGCGCGTGACCCTTACACCCGGGTCTCCAGTGGAGGAATGAAGCTCCTGAAATATCTAATTGTATTCATTCGTTTTCTCTGCTCAGCATGGCACTGAGAAATAAAGAGAGTCGCAGCTAAAGGGGAAGGAAGTCAGAGGGAGATCTGGCTAGCGAGGTTTCTTGAGCATGGGAAACGGGACAGCGTCCTCATTACTGTCGTTTAGTGTGCCAAAGGTGCAGTGAGTAATTAACCAATTAACGATTCATACTCAGAACACCAACAGACGACCCGTGTCAATCCATCTGCCCTTCTAATATTCAGTCAGAGCCCATGTGATGAATACAAAAAGAGCGGATGCACTACTACAATTACCTAAACTTCTAGATAGACGTCATGCAAAATAATTCATTCTGGTCGACGAGTTTTACAGTCCATGTATTCTTATCATCTCCTGCATACATGCACTTCTTGTTAAGATCACTATGAGTCAAACAAAGAAGATTATTGCACATCAAAATGAGTTACTGGATACAAAACATCCTTTCTATGAGTCTATCTGCCTTCCACTAAAAAAACAAGACAATAAAAGACTTCTGGATTCTTATAGGCCTTGATGAGAATCACTGCAAACCATCTGTGCTTCTGGGAACTATAGGGTTATTTCCCCAAAAACATGGAGGAGAAAAAATACAGGACTTTATACTGTGAAATATTTCTTTTTTTATGCACAGCAATTTGCAATTAAACTTTTTTTTGTGAATTATGCAACAGAATGACCATCCGGTCTGCCAAATGAAACCGTGGCTTTTCACATATAAAATGAAACCTGCATTTTTCTGTTTAAACAAAGTGTCACATATAATAACCTGCGCTTTCGATGCAGGGGAGAAATTATGACCGCAAACTTCTAATCAGCAGAAATCTACTCACCCTGATGGCAGGTTTCAAAACGGTCTGCTCCTTTCAAACATGATATGCAACCTATTTTTTTTTTAGCTGTACTGGAGATGCATTGAAAAAATAAGACTTTATTGCTTTTATGAAAAGTGTAAATGTGTGAATATCCAAAAATTACACATCTTAAATAACAAACAGATTACACAGAAAACAATAGTGACTGAGATACAAATAAATAAATAGATTAAACATCAATGGTCATGCAGAGACTGGAATTATTCTGTAGCCCTTTTTAACTTATTTTCTTAATTAGAAAAAACAAACATATGAAGCACTTTAATCGGCACTATTAAATGCATTATTGTTTCTGCTTGGTCTAGAAATATAAAAGCTGTGCTCTCATCTTTTAACGCATTCACCTCATCTTATCATTGTTAGACATTTAATCATTTATTTAGTGAGAATTGCAGAGTCATTTGCAGTTGGTGTGAAACAGATCCCGTCTGCTGCCCACAAATACTTTTTAGTTCAAATCATTTCAGGATATTGAACCGCATTTATGTGTTAATTCACATATTGCATATAGTTTTTATTTCAGAGTTTCACTGTCACTGAATCGACGCTTCAAAGCCACACGAATACGTTTACAGTGCAACCTTCGTCTATCGCAAAATTACGTTGGATTAATTATATATTTTTGCGGAGCAGCGTTTTTCACTTATGCAACTATAAATAGGTATCATAACAACTGTACTGGGAAAATGCGCCATGCCTCGAAAAACCATGAGACTGAAACCACCTGAATGAGAATTAAACACAGTACGGAAGCAAACACTAAAGTCAACTTTATAATATAAAGTCCGATCGGTTTTATTAAAGAGAGAAAAAATGCGCGTTTTTTCCCAATTTTAACTGTGAGTGTTTAATCTGATACATATTGTATGCATCCGTATGAATAAACGGAATTTGATATCACTCTACTGTTCTGCATTTAAAAAAATCCACGATTCATTATTTATAACAAATCGCGAATAATCGCAGAAACGCCGGCCGACGCGCGCGACTCGATAAAGCGTCTATATTCATATAATTAACGCGACTGCCTGTCCTTGTGTTTTTCGAATATTTTAATTAGCGCTCTTTAAACCTGCGTCTCTCTAGAAATGCACATGCAAAGTGGAAGTGTCTCGCACACAAAGTTCCTGCAAAGCAACGGCGAATAGAAGCGCACAGAACCGCTCACCTGGGGTTGGTTCGGTTCCAGTAGACAGCGTATCGATCGGCCATCACCTTTGAGCTGGGCTCTTGACTAAATACACACATCCACAGAATCACACCCACGAATATGATCATTTCCACTTGCAGCATCACTACAGCACACTCGGACACGTATATTCCTCTTGCTTTAGTCGACTTTCATTCACATCTGTGGCTCGGCTCTTCCCGACGCGGCTGATGTCAGACAGTGGAGCAAGTGTTGAGATGTCCACGATCTTCTGTCAGTGGTGTGAATGTCCGCACTACGGTCAATAACTGTGGACTGCGCCGCCGGAGAGACACAAATCAGCCAGTCAGTGTTTAGGGTTCATTCTAACACGCGTCGGTGAGACTTTTAGCAGAGACGATCTAGTCTGCAGAAGCTCTTCTCATCCACACATGCAACTACAGAGCAGGAGCGCGCTGTCAGTCCGAGAGAGAGTCCGTGCAGACAGGTTTGCAGAAGTTGCCAGACGCTCAGACTGATCTCGGCGAGATGGAGAGCAGGGGTCCGTTCAGATGAACGCAGAGCTCGACAAACACACCCGCGTTCCGGACGCGCGAGTCACTCTCCGTCATTCTACTGCGGGTCATCTGTGAGTTAGCTGATGCGCTTTCGGTTCGGCAGGAGGTGTGATGATGGTGTGAACCCAGCGCCGCTCGCTGCGAATGTGTGTTCGGTTACAGCGGGACGCAGGGGAAGCCCATTGGCCCGAACTCGGGTGGGCGGAACGCTAACAACACAAACCCCGCCTCTAAGCCTTTACTTCACCCACTTCATAAATATAACCCACAGAGAGAGAGAAAGATAGATGGATAGATAGATAGATAGATAGATAGATAGATAGATAGATAGATAGATAGATAGATAGATAGA